AGCATTTTTTCCACTTCGTCTCTAGACACCTCTATGTGTTCTATGTTGTTCTCTGGAATTCTTATTGTATCTGGTTCCCTAAAGATTTCATTTTGTACAAACACACTTTGGAACTTTTCGTTTAGTGTTTCACACATTTCCTTTTCATCTTCCGTGAATCTATTTCCCATTTTCAACCTCTGAATATTATCCTTTACCTGCAATTTGTTGTTTATGAATTTATAGAATAGACCTGGTTCTGTTTTACATTTGTCCGCAATCCCTTTTTCAAAATTTCTTTCTGCCTCTCTCCTCACTGCCGTGTAGTTGTTTCTCGCATCTTTGTATCGCTGGTATGTTTGGGGGTTCGGCCTCTTCCTGTATTGATTCCATTTTTGTGTCTTTCGGTCTCTAGCCCTCTCGCAATTTCTATTGAACCAATCCTGTTTCCTAGTTCTGCATCTCTGTTTTGGTATAAATTTTTTTGTGCCTTTATCATATATTTCACAAAACTTGCCATACATCTCATTCACTTCCTTGCCTAGCATCAAGTCTGTCCAATTATACTCACTAAAAAAATTTCTAAGGTCACCATAATGTCCTCTCCTGAAGTCTGGTTTTTCAACTGCTTCAACCTCCTTATTTTCTTCCAGCTTATAACGCATTGCATACTTTATTCCCAAAAAGACATGGTCACTTTTACCCAAGGGAGGAAGGTACTGAATGTCAAATATCTCTTCCTCCTTCCTGGTAAATATCAAATCTAGCATGGAGGGAACGTCCCCTTCCCTCATCCTCGTAGCTTGTTTAACATGTTGATACAAGAATGTTTCCAGGATGAGGTCTACAAATTTACAGGTCCAAAAATCTTCTGTTTTAGCTTCATATGCTTCCCAGTCTATGGATTTCAAGTTGAAGTCACCGACTATCAACAGTCGTGATCTATCGTTATCCGCTCTCGCTATAATCTCTCTCATTATTGTTATAAGACCTTCACGTTTACTATCTAGCTCCTCCTTTGACCATGTGCTGCTTGGCGGTGGACTATATGCATTTATCATCATTAGTTTATCATCCTCATAGCAGATCTCTAGTGCTATTATGTCAACTTCTTGTGGATTGGCAGTCATTATTTCCTTCACCTTTAGGTGTTCTTTTACCAGCACAGCAACGCCACCGCCTAGCAACGAGTAGCCACATCTCTGTGCCTTTACTCACCATACAAGCTTAGATGTACAGTTATGGTGAACAAAACATGTAGATACTTATATATAACGTCTGTATATAGTGAATTATAGCAAAAACATTATTGTGAGAGGAGAATGTGGGTGAGTCAGATGACTGGAGGGAGGGCGGGAGTGGCTGGCTGGTACACGGCGGTCACTCCTCATTACTTTTTGACTCATAATAGCTACTTAGTGGTTCGTTATAGTGAACAAAACATGCAAATACTTATATATAACCTGTGCTTATAGTGTAATAACCGACAAAGTATTTGTTCACTGATTGATGAACATAATTGAATCAACAATATGCACACCATATTTTTGAGTACACCAACGATTCACTCATTTTATTATATAAATATATCAAACTACACACTATTGAATAATATTACAGCCAAAAAAGTATGAAAAATCAATCAGAGACATTGAAATAATTCGGTAATTATCTCTTTGGGGCAACTCTGGCCTGACAGCTTGCGAGCAACAGACCGCCTGGGACGCACGCTGAGTCAGCGCCTATAATTTGCCAGACTTCCCCGCCCTATAGCGGGCAATATATGCCACTTACGATTTTTTTATTATTTTTCCCGTGATCAGTGAACACAAATTAACAGGTTAGAAAGAAAAAATAATTGTTTTTTTTTTCAAAATGACATGCGCCTGTGGGGATGGCAGGATATTAGACCCCGAGCATGTTAAGGGTTAATCATAGAAGAATCGTTACGACTTGACTGTTGATACAAGTTTTGGATGATTACTGGTAATCACGACACAAGACATACATAATGAAAATAACCGGGATCCTGTACAGTAGTTACATTAGTCAAATAAACCCAATCACACCCAGACATCGACTATGGTGTCTTCGGCAGCACCGCTAGTGTCTTCCTCTGATGTTGAGTAGGTGGTGTCGCATATGTTGATGGTTGATGACAGAGGATGAGAGTATGGTGCAGCATTCATGTAGCACATACGTGCATCACATACTTAATGCACGGTGAGGGTAGCATAGCCTGGCTTTCTTCTAGGCCAGGAGTTATTGCCATCAACCAATACCTGGTGGGTGGAACGTTCATCAAGAATGGGCGGACGTTCTTGACGAAGGTATATCCCAAAGTCACCTCAGAGACTGTTGTCCTTCTCGCACGCTTGAGAACAAAGCCTCAATCAGTCATATATATAATTGACACATCACATCTTTACCACACTGGAACTTTTTATCGATGTTAAGTACATGGTACAGTTTCTCACCTGAGCTGCTGTGCCAACACACTCCCACACAGAGGCATTTGCACGAACATACAACACACCGTTGAGAGGTGGGACCAAAGAGCTTAAGACCAACCCCCCCCCACATTCACAATTAGGTATGTACTGGGACATTACCCATCCCATGGCACTTGAGATAAAATCACTGTCTTTGCATTGTACACTTGTCTACCGTTCGACAAACATCCCAACATGTAACGAGGTGGGTGAGGTGACTGTTACTCTTTTCTCGACCCCGATTCACTAAACCTGTATGGTTAAGAACAAGTTCCTTGTGATTGGTTCTTAGGGTAGTACAAGATACAGTACAGTGGTACCTCGGAACACGAGTGTCCCTGTATGCGAGTTTTTCGGAATACGAGCAGGATTTCCTCAGAAAATGTGTCTCGGAAGGCGAGGGTTACCTCGGAATGTGTTTGTTGATACGCGTTCAGGCCGACCTAGCGCGTGGTGGTACGGTGATCGTCGACCCTCCACCCCTCAATTTACCATTGTCTCCCGCCCAGTGACTATCCCTCCTGAATTCTTCACAAGGATTTACAGTTTTATGTCGTTTTTTTGGCCATTTGAACATAAAAGTTGTTATTATATATCTCGCCATGGGTCTCAAGAAAACCATTGGTAAGGTTCAACCTAAGAAAATAGCTGTGAGTAGAGGCAGTAGAGGATGTCCCTTCTTGATTAAGAAAATGTGTGAAGTATGGGAAGAACTGCAAAGTTCTGTTGAAAAAACTCACCCAGATAAAGCTGTAGCAGGCCGTTGCATTGACCTTTTAAATGACAATGTGATGTCTTACTACAGACAAGTGTTAAAATGTAGGGAAAAACAAGTGTCTTTAGACAGATTCTTAGTAAGACAAACAAGTCCTAGTGGTATGCAGGTGAAATGTGCCAGAGTGTGCTCACCAGTGAAGTCCTCACTGCCTGATGTTATAATGGAAGGGGACTCCCTTTCCAAACAGTAACTCCTCTCCTCCTCCTTCCTCCTCACCATCTTCCATACGCCTACAGCATTCAACAGCAAGGTAAGTAATAGCTTGAACATAGTTTTGTAGATTTATTTAGATAAATTAGGTATAAAAATTTAGTTTGATGTGGGGTTTTTGGGGTAGTCAGTAACGGATTAATTCATTTCCCATTATTTCTTATGGGGAAATTAGCTTCGGAATACGAGCCGTCTCCAGGAACGGATTAAACTCTTAAACTGAGGTACCCCTGTAGTATCTTTATTCCACATTCACAAGTCACTTGGATAAATTGAATCTGTTGAACTGAATTCGTGGCGCTCCAATTAATCCCATGACACCATCTTAATGTGGCATTAATTCACATTAAATTCCATCTGCCAAGTGTTGCTCCATACACTTATTTTACCTTGTCCTTGACAAGGACAGGAAGCCGGTGGCTTGTCAAAGGTCTCCCCCATTTGCCGTGATTATATTTTCCAGCTGGATTTTAAAATTTAGCAGTTTTGGCATTTATGGCTTCGGCGGGTAGCGTTATTTTGTCCAGGTCTTCAAGAGCATGATAATTGTCGAACTTATCTTTCCTATTAGTTTGCCATCATCAGCAAGCATGTTCATATAATTCTGTATTCCTTCTGGTAGATCATTTATATAGACAATGAACATTATTGGTGCCAAAACTGAACCCTGTTGTACGCCATTGGTAACACTTCTCCAGTCTGATTCATTGCCTCTTGATTACTGCCCTCATTTTTCTGTCAGAAAGTTTTCATCCAAGTCAAAAGTTTCCCCTGTCACTCCTCCAGCATGTTCCAGGTTTCCAGAACAACCTCTTATGTTTTAGGTAATAAACAAATTACCATACTGCATTTTTAAATATGCTGGCTCAAAACTGGTGTAGGGTGAGGGTCAACTGTATTTCCTTTTTAAGATACAGTATATGTATCAAACTTGTAGGAAAATATTCCTAATACTGTAAATATCATTAAAGAAGTAACATTATTGGTGCCAAAACTGAACTGTTGTACGCCATTGGTAACACTTCTCCAGTCTGATTCATTGCCTCTTGATTACTGCCCTCATTTTTCTGTCAGAAAGTTTTCATCCAAGTCAAAAGTTTCCCCTGTCACTCCTCCAGCATGTTCCAGGTTTCCAGAACAACCTCTTATGTTTTAGGTAATAAACAAATTACCATACTGCATTTTTAAATATGCTGGCTCAAAACTGGTGTAGGGTGAGGGTCAACTGTATTTCCTTTTTAAGATACAGTATATGTATCAAACTTGTAGGAAAATATTCCTAATACTGTAAATATCATTAAAGAAGTAACAATCCTTAACAAAAATAACTATTTTGACCTGTTAAATGAATAAATGCTTCTTTTATTTAAATTTTTAATTTTAATAGAGCCAGAGTGCACTATATGGTACTTTACCAATATTTTTTTATGGATGTTATTTGAAATTTGTATAGCAAATATATAATTATTGTTTTACTGAATGCATTGATGTTATTTATATATGAACTTGCATCTACAAAATTTTTGCCTTAAACCTCTCAGAAAAGCTACACTCCACACCAACGTACGTGTAACGCCCAGTACAAGTGTGTGCCTTCTACAATATGGTCACAAGCACCAATGTTTGGAGATCAAGAGAAGTTTTCTTCAAACACCTGTATGCTCAATGTTCATCAAAGTTCAAGAAACACCTAATCCAAATTCTCTGAAATTTTTGCCAGGTGTTCAGGTTTGTATTCTGGGGAAGGCACAGTGGCTCCCTGGGGTTATCTTGCTGAGATTGCCGCTTGCAAATGAGTCGCATCGATGGAGTTCAGTTTGGCCTACAATGGACCAGAGCCCTCTTACAAAGGTACAGAGAGCAAGTGACAATTTGCCACCACATTGGGAAAACATCCAGAAAGTCAGTGAAGCTTAACAGACAACTGAAGGGATAACAAAGACCTAAGCCTTGAATTCACCAAACAGCTCTGCAAACAATTCACTCAGAACAAGAGAAACATTCAGAATTAGCATGAAACTTGTACATAGTACAAAATGCCACCATCAGTTGGCCCATTTTCTACAAACTGCCATCTACCTTACTCAGACATGACAAACCACTCTGATTCAAGCAAAGTGCCAGCTGTCCTTCAACATGTTCCAGTGGGAGCCATTTGCTGTGTACTCCATTTTATATTTTAGTATTTGCTTCACGTGCATATTTTCTACCTGGCTTGTTGTATTGGCTTGGCTCTATTGTGCTTTGGGTTCCTTTCCAGGGTGCTTGCTAGCACTGCTCCTACACTGACAGATATTTTCTCTGGTGTGTTTGGGAGTTTGCCCCTGAAAGGCAAGGCCACTTAGGTGGAAAGCCTCGCTTAAGGCTATTCCCGAGTCATTGACTCCCATGTTTGGATCCTAGGTTGGGGTAGGGGGTTGTTTCAGGTTGTCTGCAATGTAATTAAGTCTAGCCAGCCTGCGGTCTACCCTCGTGCCCATGATGTAAGGAAGTATGCTGGTTTCCAGCTGTCTTTGGTAATTTGTCTTGGGTCAACATTCAGACATGGGGATTTTGGAGGTCAAACTAAGTCCTGGCTGCCAGGTATCTTAAGAATGTCCTGGACCCTCTACAGTCTTGTGTTGTATTCAGGAGTCTGTCACTGCCATCGTCTCTATTTCACCTTGAGATCTGTGGTGCTGCCGCCTCCCGGGGTAATTCCCTGCTTTCTGTGGGTAGCCCCCAACGGCTCCCTGGAGCTGTCAGGCTAATAAGTGATACATTAGAACTGGGCATTAGTGTATAAAGTTTAGTCTTCCAGAGACCACAAGCCAGAACCTGGGCCCCCTCAGAGAGGTGCAGGAAGCAATGGCCCTGGAAAATCCATCTGTGGTTGGTGGTTTTCCTTATCTGCCATCGACCAGGGATAGGCACCCAGAAAGGTAGGCATAACAAAACAAACCCTACATGGTAAGAAAATGGCAACTAAAAACCGAAGAGAGAGGCACAACTCTTTCCAATCCCAAGGAAACAAGCAAATGTCACACTCCACCGCTGCGCCGCTCATCTGCGCAGCCCTACCCTTAACGAGAGGAGAAGGGGGAGAGCCCGGGACCTCCCTGTGTCGTCTACCTAGCATTCTGTTCGTTCGCTAATGATGTCTGGGGCGGACGTCTTCTCTGGCCTCGATTTCCAATGTGGTGTTTTTACCTGCATGGCGACCTATGCATTGTGTGTTGTGGCCAAGTGTCTTCAAGAGTACCGGGGCTGCATACAGTTAGGGGGCATCCTTCCCTAGGCACCCTGTAAGTACTGCCCTTGCATGTTAGAGTTCTCTTCCCTGGTGCGTTCGGGAACCATTTCCGTAGGGGGCTTTAGCTGCTCAGCATTTACCTCGCCCTTGGGACAAGCTGGGGTTTCGTGGCCCCTGTTTGGGCTTGGGGTAGGGAGTAGTATCGTGCTGGTTGGGGCATCAGGGTGTTGTGCAGCCTGCCTACCTACACGGTGGCTGGTTCTCGTTTCCTCTGGGGACATTGAACTTTTGCGGGGTCTTTCTTTTGTTTTTGTTTTTATTGCCTGGTGTGGCTATAGTTCCACTTCTGATATTTTGGTGGCCCTCTGCTAGAACCCCACCATGATTATACACGTCGCAGGGGTTTCAGTGTTTTGATCTCCCACTTGTTAGCTTTTGGTCTTTACTGGTTAGCAACATCTTGCCCGGGATTCCCGTAGCAGTCAGCCTATGGGCCCTGGAAAACCCTGTTGGGACTCAGGGGACCAATGGATATGTCTTCTGAGTTCCAGTCTGCCTTGTGCGAGTTTGAAGGTTACTGTGTGCCCTTGTCTTAGAGTGAGAGTCACCTCTTTTGCAATTTTCGCCAGATTGTGATCTGTTTTATTTTGTCTTTCTGGGTGCTCTCCCCAGTCAATGGCAATTATGACATACTGTACAATATATTAAATGTAAAGTGCTCATAGGCCATTGCTCCCTTTGCCTCTCTTAGGGGGGCCAAATTCTGGCTCATAGTCCCATGTATGCAAAATGAGTCCTCTGAATGATGACCCCAATCTTATATAGCACATATTAGTATGGATAGCTTCAGTGAGCCTCCGGGGTTCGCCCAGAAAATGGCGTTTCATTACATTCAACGCTGGTTTTTACAGTTTTTCTTTAGGCTCATGATATCTTTGACAAAGCTGTTTTTATGTTGGCTCTCACCTCTGGTTGTAGGGATGGGGAGCTTCAGGCACTTTTTCTATAAATGGGGGTTTTGTTCCTTCTGCCCTTTCAGAAGGGCAGTTCCTTTTGTTCCTCTTTGACCTTTTCAGAAGGTTCAACCAGGCTGTTCCAATGGCCTAGTTGACCAGTCCAGCATCCAGGAGGCCTGGTTGGGGATCAGGTCGTGGGGACGCTGAACCCCAAAATCATCGAAAGGTAATCGCAAGGTCAGCCCTAGTTGGCAGTTTGTTTACAGCCTTCTTCTTTTCTGCCGTAGAATGAGTCGGCTAGCTTTCAGAGGGGCCAGTTGGTGATTAATGCTTGGTTGGTCCACCCAGGGAGTGCATCACTTGCTGTGTTTGGTGGTGGCTGGTCACCACTATCTATGGGTCTGTCTTGCTAGATACCTTGTTGGTTGACCCTGGTTTCTTGGTCCACTGTTCCAAGCCTTGTATTTTTCAGATCGTCTGCAGTGTCATCAAATCTAGCTAGCCTGCAGTCTTCCCTCTGGCCTATGATGTTTGCAAGTATGCTGCATTGGCCAGTCATCTCCAACATATCCTGGGCTGATATTTGGAATCAGGGATTTTTAGCATTCTAACAGGATTCTAGTGGCCCGGTATTTGGCTAATGTCGTAGGTCCCAGTCAGTCACATGTTGTCTTGGTCCGTGTCTCCTGGCCTGGATTATCTTCTATGTCCTAGTGCATGCCACCTCTTTTCCTCTCTGGTAAGTCCTGCTCTTGTTCTCTGTGGTTAGCTTCAGGGAATCACAGGTGAATTACCTAGAAATCCAGCATTGAATGTAAAGAAATGCCTCTTTCGAAATACACCTCTATGGCTCCCTGACTCACTCCCTCCCTACCAGGTTAAACGGCTCATTGGCGAGCTATTCATCAGCTCTAGAACTGAGTAAAGAAGATTGCTACTTTTGGAAACCTGGGCTGCCTGGTGGTGGCATTCTATACTGTGAGCTTTGCACTAATTTTTAATGTTTCTCTTGTTCTGTATGAACATTTGTGGAATTGTTTGGCAATTTCTAGACTTAGGTTTTTGTTAACAATCCAGTTGTCTGTAAAGTTTAACTAACATTCTGGATAGTTCCACAGTGTGATAAGAAATTGTCACACGTTCTCTCTGCCTTTGTGAGGGAAAAATGGGGGTGGCAGGTTTTGGCTCTGGTATCCGGTAGGCCAACCTCAACTCCTGTATCTGATGTGACCCATTTCCATGGGGGGCAATCTCAGCAAAATACCTTGAAGGAGCTACTGGAGTTTTTCCAGAAAGTGGTGCTTTCTTACATTTAACTTTGCATCTTTCTGTGGGGAGCCCCTTTGGCTCCCTAGACCTACTGGGCTAATGTGTGATATTTTAGACTGGGCCATTAGTCTAAGGAGTTTGACCTACTGGGAACCACGAGCCAGAACCTGGTCCCCTCAGGGAGGTTGTAGGGAGCAATGGCCCCTGGAAAACCACCCTGTTGTTGGGGGTTTTCCTTATCTGCTATCAATCGGGGTTAGGCACCCAGAAAGGTAGACACAACAAAACAAACCCCACATGGTAAGAAAGGTACAACTAAAAACCAAAAAGAGAGGTAGAACTCCCTCCAATCCCAAGGCAACGAGCAAACAAGCAAACGTCACATTCAACTGTCACGGCTCTCACCCACACACCCCTCGCCTCCCCGCGCCGGCTACCCGGCAGTCCAGTTCGTTAGCTAATGTGGTCCGGGGCGGATGTCTTCTCTGGCCTCGATTTCCAGGTGGTGTTTTGCCTTTGTGGCGACCTCTACAGTGGTGGTGTGTGTGGTGGCAAGGTGTTCCTCATCAGTGCCGGGGCTATCTTAAGGTTATCTTGAGATGATTTCGGGGCTTTTTAGTGTCCCCGCGGCCCGGTCCTCGACCAGGCCTCCACCCCCAGGAAGCAGCCCGTGACAGCTGACTAATACCCAGGTACCTATTTTACTGCTAGGTAACAGGGGCATAGGGTGAAAGAAACTCTGCCCATTGTTTCTCGCCGGCGCCTGGGATCGAACCCGGGACCACAGGATCACAAGTCCAGTGTGCTGTCCGCTCGGCCGACCGGCTCCCTCCAGTCGGAGTCGGGCTGCATGCACATAGGGGCTTCCTTCCCTAGGCGCCCTGTGAGTACAGTTACTGCGTGTTAGGGGTTCTCTTTCCTGGTGAATTTGGGATAATCATTTCCATAGGGGCTCTTGCTGCTTGGCATTTACCTCGCCCTTGGGGCTAGTTAGGGTTTCATGGCCCTTGTTTGGCCTTGGATAGGGAGTAGTATCGTGCTGGTTGGGGCGTCAAGGTGCTGTGCTGCCTGCCTACCTACGCAGAGGCCGGTTCCTGTTTTCTCTGGGAACGTTGTACTTTTGCATTTTTTATTCTTGTCTGATGAGGGTCTGCCTGGTGTGGCTATCGTTCCATTTACTGTATAATATTTTGGTGGCCCTCTGCTAAGCCCCCATGATTGTACATGGTGCAGGAGTTTCAGTGTTTTGATCTCCCCCTTGTTAGCTTTGG